CGGGAGGCTGCGCACTGGGAGGAGAGGTTGCATGTGGTCCCCAGGCTGCCAAGGGCCGGGAGGCTGCGCAGTGAGAGGAGAGTCTGCGCGCGCAGCAGGAGCCGGCACGCGGTTGCCGGATGTCGTGGCCTCGCGGACGTCGTGGCCTCGCGGACGTCCAGCGGTCACCGTGACAACCTGAGGAGAGGCAACGGTGGGCGGAGCGAGGAGCAGTTGAGGCTGGCGGCGGCGGGCCGCCTCCGCCGGCAGCCAGGCCTCTGCTGTTGGCTCAGGCCGGTCCCCGCGCGGGGACTATGAGAAGATGGTCGTGCAAACGAGGAGCAAGAACAAGGACGTTCCGTCCAAGGGGGTCCAGGCCCCCCGATGCCCCGTGCGCAGCCGCCGGGGCATGGGCAGCGGCAAGCGGAGGCCTCATACCGAGGACAAGTGCAGCAAGGGGCCGCGACCCTCGTCGCCTGCGTCCATCCACCTGTCGGGGGGCGGCGGCCGCAAGGGGCATGCCTGGGGTTCGCTGCTGCGCCGGCTGCTGATCGCCGCTGTGCGGCCCCTCCTCGGCCTGTTCGCGGAGACGCTGCCTGGGCTGCGGCACAACCAGCGCTTCTCGTGGAACTTGACGCTGACCATAGGTGAGCCCCCGCAGCGTCGGGGTGCCGCGTGAGTGCCCCCCTCCCCCCCCGCATCCGGACCACCTTGTGGGAGGCCCGGCCCGGCCCCTTCTCTTGGGAGACCGAGACAGAGGCCGAAGCCCGAGGCGGCCCGGGTAGCAGCGGCAGAGCTCCCTCCCTGGGCAGTAACCCGCGCCTGGCTTTAAATCGCTTTCGTAGAATTTAGGCCAGACTCCCTCGTGTTACAATCGTCAGGCCTCGCACAGTGCCGAGCAGAAATGGGCCGCTAATGCCCGGAGAGGCTCAGGAGGTGCTAGCCACTGTGTTAGGCGTGATACAAAGACAGCCCTTTCCCTCCAGGGGCTTATAGTCTGTGGCCGGAACAAAGTATGTGCAAATATTCAAACGAGGCATTCTGCTGGAAGGTACTCTCAGGGCCACAGTTTCCTCATCTCTGATCATATCACATTGTTATAGTTGTCTGTGTTATTTGTCCAGCGGCTTGCTTCACTTTGCATCAGGTCATCTAAACCTTCCCATGCTTCTCTGAATTCTTCATATTCTTTGTTCCTTACAGTACAGTAATATTCCATTCTAGTCACCTACCACTGTTTTGTTTACTGGCCAGCACTTTGTTTCTAATTATTGGCTATCATAATGCCTGCTGCTATATATGTGTATATATATGTGTGTATATAAATATATATGTACATATGTTTAATGTTCTGAGGACTTTTGTTTGTGTCTTTTATCTTTTTGAGGGTATAAATACCAAGTGATTAAAAGGGTTGGCCTTATTAATCGCTTTTTAAGCAGAATAATTACAAATTGCTGTCCAGAATGGTTGGATGGTCAGAGTTACGACGATAGTATGTTAGTGTACCTGCCTTTCCATAGCCCCTCCAACAGTTACCATATACCCATCTTTTGCCATCTTTATCAATTTGCTGGGTGTGAGATAAAACTTTGAAGGTGTGTTGATTAGCAGTTTTATTATCAGTGCTTTGGAGCTATATTTTGCATAGTTGTGAGTAGTTTGCAATTCTTTTGAGAACTTTTCATAGCTTCTTAATACTTTTCTCTTTGGGAATGATTAAGTATTTGTGTTAATTTACTGTGTATCTTGGGTAGAAGACTTAATATTGGTATCAGATATTTGATGCAAAGACTTCTTTCTATTTGATGGCTTTGCTTTTATCCTAGCTTAATTGATTTTGTTCAAAGGTTTTTCAGCTTGATGTAATCAAAACTGTATTCTTTGTGATCTGCTATATCTTTTGGCTAAAGAACTCTCTCCCTTCACTTTTGAAAGATAACTGATTTTTACAATATTTTTTATAGTAGGACCTTTAATATTTAGGTCACACATCCATTTTAAGTTTATTGTGATATCTAGTGTAAGATGATGGTGTAAACCTAATTTCTGCTAAACTGCTTTCCAATTTACCCAGCAGATTTTCTAAATAGAAAGTTTAGTGTCTTATATTTTTATGTTTATTGGATGCTTGATTATTGACTTTAATTGGTTTCTGATTCTTCCTTATCTAGTATGTTCCTCTGATCTATTTTCTGTTTTTTATACCAATACCAAAGAATTTAGATGATTATTGCTTTATAATATAATTTGACACCTGGAAGTGCTATACCCTCTTTATTCCTACTTTTTCATTTTCTAAATATTTTATCCCTCCAAATTAATTTTGCTGTTATTTTTTCTGACTCTTCACCCCTCTGGTAGTTTGGACCTTGTCTTATCAGTTGACAGTAAGTATGAAATACTCCTTGGGCCTTACTTTCAGGAATTTCTTAACTTAAATTTTTTTTAATAACTGTATTTCAATATAACTGGTTTCCTTTGTAATCCTATGTATTTTATTTTATGCATTTTAAGATAATATTCTGAGAAGGGACCCATAGACTTCACCAGGCTTCAAAGGGTTTTGTGGCACAGAAAGTAAAGAACTCCTTGCTATTAGGCCATCAGTTTCTTGCTCGAGATTTGATCCTTTTGGTTTCTTCTATACTATGCTGTTTGTGTGTTCAACCCTCTTTTTCCTTTTCAGGTAAGAGCAAGGTTAATATGATGCTTACTCCCGGTGTCTTGCCCTCTTGTTTATATACTCTTCTTCTCAGCTACCCCAATCATGAGAAATAGCGAGTTCCACCCCGTTCTTTATTAAAAAACTCCCTTTTCTTATCATCAGACCCTCTGAACAGAACTGATCCAGCTATAGGATCTCTGTTCATTTTTACCATCTTCAGTCCTCTTTAAAGACATTAGGGTCTGGAGATTCTTGTTCCTTTTTCCCCATCAGAATGTTAGCACCACATCATCCTACATCTCCTTTCATTTGCTCAAATATATCTACAAATCTTCCTAAGTAATATATTCCTCTTCCTAGGTTTCTCTAGAATCTTGTGTTTGTATTTCCTAGTTTCCTATTAAACTTTGGTCTTTTCATAAAGGAATGCTTGAAATTCCATTAAATGTCCATTTTTTTTCCTCTATAAGATGATATTGAGCTTTTCAGGGTGTATTATTCTTGATCATGAGCTTATATCCTTTTTTTGTATGCATTCCAAGATCGCCTTTCCTTTTTTGTAAGGTGATTCTCATTGTGGTTTTTTGGTACTTGAACTTCTTTCTGGATGGTTGCTGTATTTTTTTCTTTGATGTGGGAGCTAGATTTTGACTGATATTCCAGGGACTTTTCCTTTTGGGCTTCCTTTTAGGAGCTGATTGGTGGATTCTTTCTATATTTATCTTCTGGTTCAAATAGACTTGGACAGTTTTTATTTAAGATTTCTGGAAATATGGTATTCAGGCTTGCTTTTTTTAAAAATCATAGTTTTCAGGTAGTCCAATGATTTTTAATTAACTCTCTTTAAATTTGCTTTCTAAATTTTTTTGTTTTTGATATCAGCTATCTTATATTGCCTTTTATTTTTTCAACCTTTTGATTTTGTTCTTATAATTCTTGCTGTTTCACAGAATCACTGATTTCTCTTTGGTCTGTTCCAATTTTCAGGAGTTTCATTTCTTGATTACCATTTTCCCTTCTAAACTATTTGTTATTCTTCCACTTCTTTTATCCAGAGCTTTTATTTAATTTTTATCTTGCTTCATTTATTCTAGGTGTCAGTATAGTCCTTTTGGAATATCCATTTTTTTTTCCTTTGAGACATTGCTTTCAGAGCCTTCTTTTTGAGGATCTCTTGATCTACATGTTTTTGATATTAGTTGGTATTTTCTTTGAGTTACTTATCTCTACAGCTTCAGTTTATGAATTGAGGCTTTGTATCAGGCCCAGGTTCTGCGTCCTGATTTGCTTTTAGGTGGAATGTTTGACCCTGCTTGATCTGATATTGAGTCTTTGGGTTCTTATGTGGTGACCTCCATTACCTGGGGTTAGGCCTTCCTTGATCTTTGAGGTTCAAAGTACTAAATCTTAAGGACCCTTTCTGATTTTTCAGAACAGAGTATTAGGGAACTTGGAGCCCCTGGATTTGGGCCATCTGGATCCAAGCACTGCAGTAACACATTGGTAACTGGGTGCTGCTGCTCCCCAGGCTTCCATGGTCTCTACTCTGAAGCTTTCTCAGGGGATCCTTCCACTTGTACTACCTCCTGACATAGAGCCTTGCAGATAACTTGTTTCTCGTCTCTGGTCAAATTGGGAGAGGCTAGTGTTGGAGGAATTCCCCATCCTATTGCTTTGTTGGCTTTTTTTGACTGACTTTTTTTTCTTCTTATTTGAATAGTATTTTATTTTTTCCAGTTACATGGTTCTTTTTTAAAGGCAATTGGGGTTAAGTGACTTGCCCAGGGTCACACAGCTAGTTAGTGTCAAGTGTTTGGTCTGAGGCTGGATTTGAACTCAGGTCATCCTGACTTCAGGGCTGGTGCTGTATCCACTGCCCAACCTAGCTGCCCCCTACATGTTTTAACAATTATAATTTCAACATTCATTTAAAAATTTTTTTGAGTTCCAGATTTTCTCCCTTCCTCCTTTCTTTTCCCTCCCTAAAATGGTAAACAATTTGATATAGGTTATATATGTACAGTCATGTAAAACATATTTCCATATTAGTGATGTTGGGAAAGAAGAAATAGACCAAAAGGAAAAAAAAACACAAAAAAATAAAGATAGTGAAAATAGTTTGCTTAAATGTGCATTCAGATTCCATCAGCTCTTTCTCTGGATGTGGATAGCATTTTCCATCATGAATCCTTTGGAATTGTTTTAGATCACTGTATTGATGAGAAGAGCTAAGTCATTCAGAGTTGATGATCACAGAGTGGTGCTGTTACTATGTACAATGTTCTTTTAAGTTCACTTAAGTCTTTCCATGGTTTTTCTGAAATCAGCTCATTATTCGTAATCGCACAGTAGTATTCCATTACAGTCTATACCGCAACTTGTTCAGCCTTCCCCAATTGATGGACATCCCTTCAATTTCCATTCTTTGCTACCACAAAAAGAGCTGCTATAAATATTTTTGTAAATGTAGGCCTTTCCCCCTTATTTAGGATCTCTTTGGGATATAGACCTAGTAGTGACATTGCTGGATCAAAGGGTACACCCAATTTGATTGCCCTTTGGCCTTAGTTCCAAGTTGTTCTCTAGAATGGTTGGATCAGTTCACAACTCCACCAACAGGGCATTAGTGTCCTCTAATTTTTCCATATCGTTTACAACATTTATCATTTTCTTTTTCTGTCATATTAGCCAATTTGACAGGTGTGAGGTGGTACCTCACAGTTGTTTTAATTTGCATTTCTCCAATTAGTAGTGCTTTAGAGCATTTTTTTTTCATATGACTATAGAAGACTTTGATTTCTTTTTCTGAAAGCTGCCTGTTCATATCCTTTGACTGTTTATCAGTTGGGGAATGACTTGTAGTCTTATAAATTTGATTCAGTTCTCTACATATTTGAGAAATGAGGCCATTATCAGAGGCACCATAAAAATCATTGCCCAGTTTTCAGTTTCCCTTCTAATCTTGGTTGCATTGGTTTC